GGAACAGAAGGCAATAAAACTGCTAGAAAGTGGTGCCTTGGTTCTATTTCAAATTCCTGATATGAATTTTTAGCCCCAAACTCATTGTCCTCACATTGAGCAGTCACTTGCTGCACGGCCTTGAACAACTCAGTTTCCCTCTCTGTCCTCCAGTTTTTCATATTTTCTTGTTACTTTCAGTTTGAGGGAGTCCCAGGAAACATACCCCAGCTGGCAGTTAGGGTACCTTCAAGGTTGGGGACTTCTGTGTCCCCTAAAGTTAACTCACCTGCTCTGAGACTCCTTCTCCATAGCGAAGCAAAGTCACAAAATGCTCACAGTTGTTGTCCAGGATGTCATATGTCACCTCCTGTCCTACAACAAACTCCGACCGCTGAATGACTTCCTCCACTGGGAGAGGGGTGTATGTGCCATCATATTTGTTGTTTATTCTGTATGTGTCATTTCCCACCACGTCCTTCAACAGCTGCATCTTCACCAAGGCCCTTGTGCTGAACACAGACTTGGCGCTTGTGAAGGCTGAAGGGATGCCATCTGTGAGGAGAACGCTGGTCAGCAAGGGGTTGTGTCCAAGCCTGGTGGTCTCCAAGGCCATCTGAAAGGCTTCCAAGATGCTGGGATGCTTAGATCTACCTCTGGTCTTTGTATATCCTCAAAACAAAGCCCACTAAATCTCAACATTCATAGACACTCATTCAGGAAATTATCAGCACTACTAACAATGTATGAGTAGAATAAAGTAAATCTCTAAAAGTTTGTGATCTTCTCATGGAATGAATTGGGTGAGAAACCCTTCCCTCTTCTTGGAAAACCAATTGTCTACAGATGAGTGTGATTCTTAGAGACCTTGTGTGTGTTTCTAACACAGTACAGATAGGATTACTGCACACTTTTTCTATGGTGCAGTTATCTCTCAGCATTGGACAAAGATGGATGTGAACAGCATCTCATGGTCACATGACTTATGAGAGGAAAAACTACTAACAACCAGCAATAAAAATATTTGTTCTTTTAGCAACTATCTTAGTCACTTTCTTGTCAGTGGGGCATACTATACAACAGCCACAACTTGGAGGAGAGGTTTACTTGGGCTCATGTTTTCAGTCCACAGTAGGCTGACTCCTAGAAAGACACAGCATGGTGGAAAGGCTTCACAGAAGTGTGCTCACATCATGGTGGCCAGGAAACAGGGACAGAAGAGGGAGACAAATGCTCTCAGGTCTTTCTCCAACCATGCCCAACCTCTGACATTCAGCCATAGATTCACCAGTCGACTAACCCACTGGTGAGGATAAAGCCCCAAGATCCAGTGTTCTTCCAAATACAAGAAGCTTATGGGAGACTCCCCAGCTCTAACCTATAACAGTAATGATTAAAAGCAAACACTTCTATTATTCTTTTGTCTGTCACCTTTCTCAATGGAGCAGCGTTTTATAGTTAATACTGCACATGGAAAGGTGTTACACATTTCAAGCATATCTATCCTAGTTAAATTGTTAAACCTTTGTTTCAAAGTATTGTAAAACTCAATGGGAAAATGAAGAAATTGGCTATGGAGAAGGTCACTGGTTTGAAAAACATCACAGTGGATAACAATAGAGAGGAACTGAATTTCAGCCTGTAGGACTGAAGCTCAGAACTTGAACCACACTCACGTACAGCCTAAGATGGAAGTATGAATGTGAGCTTCAGAGTGGAAACTAGCACTAGTTTCTCGATGTTAAAATAGCAGAGATGATGTAGATGCACAAGCTTTTTCTTTTTCCCAAATATTACTTTCTGCTGAATTTTTACTAAACACTTAATTTCAAGGAGAAGCATAAAAATTTGTTACCTAAGCAAGTCCCAACAGGAAGAGACCCTGTCCCATATTCATGCCCACTTGCTATGTGACTCGCTTCCTCATTTGGTACTGGATTTAATCAATTTTATCTGAGCAATGGTGCTTGTAATCTCATTGGTTCGCCATAGTTTTGTCTTACCTCATGCCCACCTAAGCAAGTTCCCATGTCCTCCACAACCTTAGGCCTGCTTCACCACATGGTTTTACTCTTTATAAAAGTTCTTGGAAGAGACAGCTTTCCAGGAACAACTCACTCAGGAACCCCCTTCTGTCTCTCTTTAGGACAGGAGCTTTCTTTCCCCCAGTAAATATATTCTGCTCTTAAAAAAATTCAAAGAGACTGCCCATGAAGTTCTGCTGACAGGCTTCTAAGCTTTCTCTAGGCTAATACTCTAAACTTGTTGGAACTTTTCCCACAAGCCAGGTCCAAAACTTTGTGAACACATAGTTAGCTCTAGTCACATTTACTTGCCTAGACCAATTTTCTGCATTAGCCAGCTTTCTTACCTGTAGGAGCTATGTTGATCACGTAACCATCACCCAAGTACAAGGCCCAGTGCTGATAGCCAGGACGGAACACTTCAATCAAGTCCCCCGGGTGGGGGTTTCCAGGGTAGGTCAAACTGAAGCAGTCATTAAATGCCATCTGCAAAGACAGACACAAAAATGAACTAGCAGGTACAACTGACAGTAAGAGAATCAGTTTTGTTTCAGATCATTTTATTAGTACATATGTGTAGCACATAGTGTTTACCTTCCTATGTGGAGCTAGTTCATGCATACATGTGAATTCCCCTTTCCCTCTCCTTCCTCCTCATACCCCTCTCCTGATTCCATTACCCTCTGAGAAAGATTTACCTCCTTTTTTCCTAATATCTACTTTTTATTTTGCTCTTTTTTTTATAACTTGGGTTTCTCCTCTAAAGATATTCATGTGATATTAAAGCTCGTGTGTGATAGTTCTCTTAATAAGACTTACACAGAATCAGAGGGTTACAGACTTGACTGAGACTGCCTTCTGTATTAAGTACTTAAGACGCATGCCACTTTCCTGTTCTTTGAATGATTCCAAATAGAAAAATCTAGAACAAATTTATTTGCTCTTGATTATTTTTCTGTAGAAGTGCTTTTCTTATCCTGATCATTTTCAGTAGATCAAGCATTTAATAGTTATTTAAATCCCCAAATTCATGGTTAATATAACATACATAAAATGTAATTAATACATCCTATTTATAAGAGAGGAAAAGCAAAAAGGAAGTAAATGTATAAGATATCTCTGTTTTATTGTGTAACTGCTCAGAACAGCCCTAACTAAAAGATACTATAATGAGTCTATATGCTTCCACTTAATCAGCATAACATCAGGATTCATGAACATAAGCTCAGAAGTCTTTCAGCCTTTTACTTGCTACTTAGTAAAAAATTGAGGAGGAGGGGTATGGATAGATGCTGTATTGTGTGAACATTAAGATTCTTGAGATTTTTCAAAAAAGCATTCTGTGTTACAAAACTTATTTTGTGATTTAATTTTAAACAGGGATAGGTTCCATGTGAAGATGGATGCCCACCCAGATATTCAGGCAACTGTAAGATATGAGACATTTCTCCTTTTTTTCAGAAATGTGCTGTGTCTTGTAGCATGTCTAAGGAACCTGGCTTCCATCCACTAAATATCAGTAGATCCCCTTTTCATGTAACCATCACAGATGCCACCTTAGACTTTAACTGTCTCCCTCTCTCCCTTCTTTATTTTCTGATTCCTCACTTCCTGATTCCAGAGATGTTCTAGGTGGTCATTGGGAGAAGTAGGATGACTTGGATATTGGGGACGTTCATCATATGGATGAACCGCTGGAACATTCTAAGCTGGTCAGTATTTTTTTTCCCTCCTAAAACAACACTGTTCAGAAAGAACATATCAGTCTTCAACAGTTGACTTTTTATGAGATTATATTTTCTTCAAATGGAATAGAAGTAGAATAATTCTGCCAGAGAAACTTAGCAACATCTATCCACAATCAAGGGGCAATTTAATGCTGTGAGCTTGCTGAATCTCTAATTGACAACAGGGTATTCCTCATCATCCCACTCTGATGCAGATATGCATGCTCATTTACAAAATAAATCCAAGTGCCAGAAATGGAATCTTTCAAATTATCTAAATTATGATTATAATAGCACAGGCTAAGGACTTGGGAATACAGACTTTTATTTTTCTGGCACTGTAGAAGTCTTTTTGCAACATTTTATAATGGAAGGGTGTTTTCCCAAGGATTTGTATATGCCATCTGTTGAAAACTTCAATCATCACACTGTCACAGAAATGCGGCCAAATGTAAGCTGTCCATCTGGTGAAAAATAACTATTAAAACAACTTTATGGAAAGCATTAACTTTAACTACCCTCTCAAAGATGCCTGAGTCATACTAATACAGCAGTTCACAATTTGGCCACATGAGTACAAAAAGGAAAAATAGATAATACACTGGGATATAAACAAACACATTTCCTATGAATTGGAATCAACAAGCGCACACAGCTGCCTACTGGAATTTGGGTCTTATTGTAGCTACACAAATAAAAATAACTTTTGAACAGGAAACACTTTGAACTGTCATTTTTAAAAAATGTGCTATCTCAACCTTATTTAACTAAAGAAATAAGGACTCCTATAACATCTTAAGTTTATGTTATTATCCCATTTTACAGATGAAAAGCTATGGTATACTGTCTTTTAGAAAAGACTTTCTCAGGCCTCTATATCACAAAATAGAGACCAACACAATGGGCCAGACACTCATATGTAAGCTTTTCTCTCAGTCTTCTACTTGATACTTAATAGTGCAATAATTTTGGAAGGTTCCTTATTTTGAAGATAGGCATAAAAATATAATGCTATTTGATATCTAAAAAAAAAAACTGTTGAAAGAAACCCCTGATGATCTGTATAATAGTTGATGCAAGTGCTTTGTGAAAACTAGTAAAGCCAGACGGTGATGGTGAGAGAAAGTTGGTTATCCATAAAGTATGAGGTTGGTTCATGGCTTACATGCAATTTTGCTACCTTATCCTCTTTTCCTATCATGAGGGCTCAGGTAGCCCCACCGGAAAATTTTATTACATTGAACACATTTTCAATTTTTGATATATAGACATCAACTGACATATGAAGTGTAAGTTAATTGATTGCACAAAGCTTGTAATATTTATTAACAAAAGACGATAGGATAACAAGGCAGATACTGTATATGAGTCGCCTCTCTAGAAACTAAGGGAAGAGCCCAAACACCAATGTATGATGGGAGAACTGAATGATGACCTGGCCAGCTCAGAATCACGGAAAGTTGCTGCAAAAGGAGACTTCAGATACTATCAGATCCACTGGCCTCAAAACTTTTTTTAGCCGTGAGAAACTTGTATCCTGTTACCTGTCAGATCTTCAAGTGCATGAAATATAAAAGCAGCTCCAGAGGAAGTCAGAAAGCTCAAGAGCCACACCTGCTTCTCCTGTGGTCTCTGCTGCTTTTGAGCCTTTCTAATGATGCAGCTTGAATAGCCCCCACCTGGTTACAATCCAAATATCTTATTAAGATAAAGAAAACAGGACTAGGCAGGTAATTTCAGCTGGTGAAAGTCACACGATATTGTACAAGATTTTCAGTAATTAGCACTGAAGTGATTGACCATTTATAGTTAAAAAGCAAACAAACATAAAACCTAAAACAAAACAAAAACCACCAACAGACACCTCCTGAAATCCTGTACTTAGTACAAAAAAATGTAAAGCTATACAATGTAGGGTAAGCACAAGGCAGAAAATTCTCACGATGTGGGTTAGACAAAAAGTTCTTAGACTTGATACCAAAACTCTATTCCACAACAGAAAATATTGATAAACTGGATGTCCTCACAATTAAAAACATGGGCTGGGGATATAGCTAAGGGGCACAGCACCTTCCTAAAAAGCACAAGATCCTGAGTTTGATTTCTGATACAAACAAAACAGGGGCTGGGGAGATAGCTCAGTAGAATAAGCACTTTCCTGGCAAGCACAAGGGCCTGCATTCAATCCCCGGTTCCACAAAAAAATAAAATAAAATAAAATAATAAAATTAACATTTGCACTTCAAAAGCTAGCACCAGTATCTGAAACATATAAATGCACATCAAAATGCAATAGGAAAAAAGCAGACAACACAATCACATTGTAGGCAAAAGACATGAACACACATTTCATCAAAACTGACACACAGATGTCAGGTAAACCATATTTAACATCATCCTCCATCAGGGAAATGCAAATTAAAATTACAGTGAGATGGTACCACCACTTACTAGCAATGAAAAATAATGATAATATAAAATGTTAGTAAGGATGTGCAGTAATTGCATTACTCATTCACTGCTTCTGGGAATGTAAAATGGTATAGCCACTCCAAAAGCAGTTTGATAATTTCTTTAAAAATTTACTTTGTACATTTGTCATCTATAATTGCACCCCTAGGATTTTAATCACTGAGAGTAAAGGCAGTGAAAACATACTCACTCAGAAGCTTCTACATTTCATAGTAGTTTTATTTATTTTATAATACTCTCAAAACTAAAACAACTGAGCGGAACTTCATTGGTGAGTCATTAAAAACCAGAGCGTTCTCAAGATTAAAATGCCTAGAGAATCCAGAACTCACTTTCTTATCCACAAAGAAGAACCAATGTAGAAAGTAAGAAAGGAAGGAAGGAAGGAAGGAAGGAAGGAAGGAAGGAAGGAAGAAAGAAAGGAAGGAAGGAAGGGAGGAAATAAGGAAGAAAGAGAAAGAAAGAAAGAAAATGAATGAAAGAACCACTGTAACAGATGTGCAATTACATTTTGAGGTGAGTGACTACTGGAGAACACTGGAAAGCAACAAAAGAGAAACTAAAACCTGGATGAATTTAGAGACCTAGGAGAATAGCATAGTGAGAAGAGACAAGCAACCTTGGCATCTCCCACCTGGCTCTGCTGCTGGAGGAAGGGGATACATCCCTCTACTGATAGAAGAGAGAACAAGAGAGTATCAGAAAACTTTATTAGTATAGATACTGATAACCCTAGCTACTAATGTGGAGCTCACCTAAAGAAATAACCTGAAATCTGCACATTAGCTTTTCTCTGGAAGAAGACTTCATATATTCTCAGCAACTTCCAGGGTGCCACAAAAAGGAACCGTCCTGTTAAGGGGCCTACTGTCTACGTTAGGGTTTCCTGTGGGTTAAAAAACCTCTGAATAATCTAATTTCTGGAACTCCACTGATACTCTACTTCAGTGGCCTGGAGGGTAGCTGCCCCAGAAACTCAACTTGGCCAAGTAGTAGAGGGGATGGGTACTGTGACATAGAAGGCTCTAATTTATTGCTCACAGCCGGCCTACGGGAATTCTCAGGACCAAAACTCAGGCACACCATGTGAGTGGGATCCTCTGCCATGCCCACGGGACCTCTCTGGAGGGGGCCCTCCCACTGCAAGCCTGCATAGTGAGTGAGAACTTCTGCCACGTACTTGGGACCCCCCAGATCCAGCCCAAGCCCAGGCCTGGTGAGTGTGTGGGAGAACTTCTGCACTCCCCTGTGCCCTCTGGGCCAGGGGCACAACAGGTTCACCTCCAA